TGGTACATCTATACTGCACTCTACCAGTTACTCCCATTCCATATTTTAATTCTAGCTCATTACGTTTGTCCAATGCAAAGTATTAAATTTTTAGTACTTTTCGTACCCTTTTAGTACGTATTACTAAAAACCCAGCATTATCACACGCCTACGCACCAAGACGGGCCCTCATGCAAAACTTCAATATTTAAGCTTCAGCCGTTTCGTCTGGGCGTTGTTTCTATATTTTAGTTGATGTAAATTGTGGTATAAAATGAAAAAAGTAAAGTATAGTTTTAGGCTTGTTTTTTATAAAATACTTCATTATATTCATTAAAAGCTTACATTGTTTCTTAATGGCATTAAGTAAATGCACTCATGATTCAGTTTTTCGTTATTTGTTTGTACAAGCTTTACGTATGATGTAGTATTGTATATCAATAAATTGCATAATAAATTTTAACTGAACTAGTTTGATGGGATTTTTCTTAAAAAACGTGTAATGTTGAGAAAAACCTTAAAAATACATTGCAAATTTTGGAGATGTTAAACAAATATGAGTTTTTTTCGTGTACCACACCCCTGCTTATAAAAATAGGACTTCCACGAACGAACCGGTTAAGCCTTCAGTCATATGGGTAATGAGGTTGAATATAATTTGACGCGACCAAAATGTACCTCATTGAAACAAAAGTTAAAATCCTAGGTGTCTTTAGTCGAAATCCGTATCAGCACATTTGGGATCGATATAACTCTCGAGAGGGCCATTCGATATCTCCAAATTTGGTAGCAAATATAGGTATAGTTCGAAGGTGGGATATCTTGATCCACTCTTCTAGAAAATAATAATGACACACTTAAAGTGTGCAATAGATTTCTCCGCTGATTCTTATACTTTCCATAAAAAACTTAAAATTTTCGAAAAATATCATATCTTTTATACCTATAACAGACAAAAATATTTGTACGTTTGGTTGTTCCTTTGTAATTTAAAGACTCAAAAACCGCTGAACAGATTTTCTTGAAAATGTCCAAATATAATGTAGCATCTCCTGAAAGTAACACAGGCCGTATACATTTATGAAATTTCATTTGGAACTGGAGATATAGCATCAGAATTGAAAGTACCTCCAAAAATTTTAGATTTTGTATGCACATTTCTATTGATCGGTTATAGATACGGTCCTCATATTTGGATTGTGTAACGAAATTTGGCACACAAATTGATTTGCAAAATTGTATTGAAATCACTTCAGGGTTAGATACAGCACCCCGATATATTTTCCTCCAATTTTAGTATTTAATGCACCAAAATTTGGAATGTGTGTTGAAATTTGGTTTGAAAATTTATTTGATATATTGTATTGAAATCGGCTCATACTTTGATGTAGCCTCTACACATATTTTCGATCGATTTCATATTTTAGCCGATTTGGTGTATTTTATGTACCAAAAACGATATGTATGTCAAATTTCAATGTCGTTGGAAGTGTGTGACAGAACTTGGTCCATAATTCTAACTGTAAAAAGAGTACACAACAACTTAATTGAGACTACGATTACTACGGGGAAAGTATGTAGGTTCATATGTATTGCTACCACAAATCTCACTAAAATCTGAAAAATGCGGTTAAACTTTTAAAAATTCCAGTCTCCTGTACACTTTTGCATTTCCTATGAAAATTAATAAATCACAAGGACAAACTCTTCGTGTACACGCACCAAATCTAGTACGTTTTTATACCCTTGGTACATTGTAATATTATTGTCGAACAATCGAGTTCGGAGAAAGGTAACATCGGTCCACTCCTTCTGGTACCTCCCCCACAGAAACTCAACATTATCAAAGAAAATAATTTACTGCACAGAAAGATAAAGGATAATTCGATTTTACTCCAACTTTGCAAATCTTAATATTTGCGTCGGTGCTACGTCAGGTGCGAAAATGGACAATATCCGCCCACTCCATCAAGTACCTCCTACACAAAGGGTCAATTTTGAATAATTACAACTCTTATAAATGTGATGTAAGAGTCCGATTGCCTTTAAATTGCACATCACAATATTTTCATTAACCCAAGGTCCGGTGTGAAGATGGAATATATCGGCCCACTCCCCCAGAAAGAGTCAAAATTTGAATATTCATGAAGATTATAAATAACGAAATTAACATCCGATTCCATTCAGACTTGGCACATCTCAATATTTCCATAAACACAAGACATGTTATAAAAGTGGTAGATATTCGACCATTCCTTCTGGTGCCTCCTCCACAAAGGGTTACAATTTTGAATAACCAAAACGATCATAAAATCCGAAATAAGCATCCGGTTCTCATGGTATTTTTATTAAACCAAGGTCTGACGTGAAGATGGGATATATCGTTCCACTCCTTCCGGTACCTCCCCTACAAAGGGTCAAAATTTTGAGTATCCATGAAGTTCATAAAACGCAAAATTAACAGCCCATTCAGACTTGATACATCTCAATATTTCCATCAACACAAGATCTTTTATAAAGAAGGTGAAGATCGGACCATTTCTTCTGGGACCCCACATAGGGTTCGATGCCAATATTTTTATCTGTATTAGATGAAGTATGAAAATTTAATACTTCTGTCCGCTATATCTGTTACCTTACGCTTATTTCCACTTTTTCCAAAAAATTTGCACATATCTCATATAAAGTATTCGATATAGTCCAAATCTGGCACGATGTAATATTTATATCAGTCTTAGGTCAGATATGAGTTGGTCAATATTGTCCAATTGCTTCGGAACCTCCCCCAGAAAGTGTCAACAGTTTGAATAATCATAACTCAAGGCATTTGTCGGCAAAACCGACTTTCTGTTTACATTACAATAAATACGTCTTTTTTAACCCTACAACACTATGTGTTAGGGGTCAACAATTATGTAACACCTCGAAATATATGTTTCCCACATAGGAAAGTATATGTGGATCTTCCTATCTATGTATGTCCATCCGTCCGTCTGTCCATGTTAATTTGTAATCACTCTACAGGTCGCAATTATAGCCCGATCTTCACGAAATTTAAAATGGAGGTGGGTCTAGGGCCAGAATAGCTAGCTCTTGGAGATGATCGCATAAAATTTAGGTTGAAATGGACCAACAACTGGAAAATTTCATGATTTTGCAGTTGCTCTACAGGTCGCAATTATAGACCAATCGACACGGAAGTTAGCATGGGGCTAAAGTTTAGGGCTGGGCAGAAGCTTTCTAATTTTGAAGCCTTTTCCAAGTCATCGGGTAATATTTAGCATTAACATTAACAAAAGTTAATGTTTCCATTAAACCGCGAATATTTTTAATCCCGGCGGTAAGGTCAATTCTGGTCATTACGTAGATGCCGATAATAATTATATCGGATATATATGACGAAATATATACAATGCATTTATACAAAAGAAGGGGATGTTAGCTAGAATGCTTATATCTCAAGAATGGCCGGACCGATTTTGAGAAATTTTGTAAGTTTAGAATGCCCTTTTGGCATAAAAGTATAAAATCTGAAAAAATCGCATAAAAAGATGTCAATAATGATGTTAATATAGATTTTGTAGTATTTTGTGACATTTTTTTATTTTTGATCGCATGCGTTTGTTTCAATTTGACCTAGAATAATATTGAAGTGAAAATTTTGTAATACTTTTTCATCTTACAACACCAAATGGACCAACAACTAAAAATGTTCCTGATTTTGCAGCAACGTCACAAATATTAGCCAAAGGACAGCGGGTTGAATGGACCACAACTTTTGCGTGAAAAATACCAACATTACCTACACAAAAGGCGAAATACACAAAAGCCGAACTTCTGGCTTTCGCCGAAGAATATAGCCAAATATCGTAGACAAGCAAATCATATAGATGAGTCTAAATTTGCTTTTGGAGATGATCGCAAAATATTTAGGTTTAAATGAACCAAAAACAGAAAAGATGTCCTGATCACACAATTGAAACCAATCAACAAGCCTGAGAAGAGAGTTAATGCCAGGGAAGAATTCTAGCATTTTGGATGACCATTGGATTATATTTAGCTGTAAAATGGACCACATTAACTAACAGCACGACGGAGTGCTTAAATATTGGGCAAATGTCCCTGGTGCATTATTTCAAAAGCGGAATCTTCCAAAATGGATTTTGACATAAGGGGGCTTCTAAAATATTGTAGTGTTGTAGGGTATCACATGGTCGGTCTCGCACGACTATAGCCTTTGCATGCTTGTTAATTCTTGCATTTGTTTTTCTTTTTTTAAACTAAGAAATATTTGTATATTAAAGTTTGAATGCATATGTATATGTTTATATATTAGGTTCTTAAATAAACGTCAGTTGAAAAATCCCCAAAGAGGGTATATTTTAACATATGATCAAATTTTGAGAATATACATATGTCGGTAAACCTAACTTTTAAATTTTAACATTGTTGATTAGATTCCCAAGAACTTTACATTTAAATAAAATAAGATATGTTCGCTTATTTTTATTTAAACAAAAATAAGTTTAAGGTCATAAAAGGAGCTTATAGCTGAAGTTTTAGATCGTCAATAAGGTTGTGGTCTTAGCTATTTGAAACAATATTTGTGGTGAATTTTGAACTTTTCAACAATGTCTCTTATCGATTTTCTCGGCATTCCTCCGCCACCAATAAAAGTTAATCTCCACTAACAGTGAAGCTTTGACTCACAACCATATCCAACCCATTAAAAATAACAGAGCGTTCACATGTATGCACCATGCAATACCCATTGGCTTCAAAGCGAGCACCAAACCCCCCCAAACAACCAACCCATGATCAACAATACAATTGTGCTGGGGCCAACTGCTATGGTCTGACGCTATGTCCGCTGTTAATTTAGTAAAAACCCAACGAGCATAACTTCATTCAGTCGCTAGCTTTGAATCTCTCAGAACTGTTGGCTGCTCTGTTTATTGTTCACTCTCAATATTCGATAGAAATGACTGCCTTAGAACTTCGAGCACCAAACGTACTAAGATAGTCTATCAGTTAGTCAGAGTTTCTCGTAACTAGTGGAGGTGCTGATTAAGTGCGATTCGTTTTGTCGTTTGTTTTTTTTTTTCTCGTTTTCGTTGTGGCGGTCTTCTTGAGTGTTAGGAAAACGTTTTGTTTTTGCAAATCAAACAAATAAACAAAAATATTTTGTTTTGTGAAACTGAAATCTAACCAAAATTGGAATATTCCCATAAAGAGAACCTCGTTTCTGAAGATAATTGATTTGTGATCGATAAGAGCGCTATTAAGACATCAAAAAAATAAATAAATAATACGTAATATAGCCATAATCAGTGAAGAATTATCTGGAATCGGTCATAGAGAAATTTTGTCCAGTTTCAATGCTTATTTGGTAATTTCGAAGAAATCTGCATTCTGTCATCTTGGATAGTTAGTCATTGCTGCATTCATTTACAGTTCGTGAACATTGAAATTCCAAAAATCTTGAGTAAGTAGCAGAAGAAAACTTTTAAATAAAAAATCGAAAAAAAACTCAAACCAAAACTTACCTCAACTTTGTGAATTATTAACTCCAAGCATTACACAAAATTGTTCTTCCATATGACTGACTGCCCATCCAAAATGCAAAGGGTGCACAGTGGTATCAGAAGCCGTCAATAATAAAATATTTTTGTAATAAGATAATATATCATGTAGTACATATGTATAGGATTGATAAGCTATAATTCCAAAAGTTTTTATCTATGTCCGTCCGTCTGTTGATAGAGTCAATATTTTATCACCCTCCACCATAAAAAGGTGGATGTTTGGTATTAAAAATGAATTATATTGATCAACCTTGAGGTATAACCCCTATATAATCTGACAATTGTGGTACTCTCTAGGATGGTTTACTTTTTGCAAAAAAATATTTATATCCTGACCCACTTTTCGGTGTAGCCCCCATATTAGGGTGCCTCTTGATTTTTTCAAATTTTGGAGCTTTCTGCTTTAACTTCGATAAAAATCTATATATTTATAAAGAATAGTGAAATAACTGACAGATGAAGAATCAACGCCCACACAAAACGGCAGAAGCTATAAATTTTGGGAAGGGGCAGTCTTGCTGGGTAGGCGTTTAAAAAGTTTACGAAAAGTGCAAAAATGTACTAAAAATTTAATACTTTGTATTGGACAAACCGAATTAGACAAATTTGGAATGAGAGCCATTGACGCATTGCAGGATTGATGTACTAAAGGGTTTTCGGAAATTCGAAAATAGTACTGAGCCTCTAAAATTACATCATTTGGTATTATGTGAACGGATATTGTCAAAAACTTGAAATTTGGATAAAGATAAAATTCAGAAATTTAATATTAGATTACTGAGTCTATATGTGTTTGGTATTGTGGAAATGTGGCCTATGTTTGTATGAAAAGTACTAAATTGTACTAAATTTGAAATTGAATGAAGGGGTAGGGCTGAAATCTTACATGTGCACAAAAAGTACTAAATAGTATTATATTTGGTATAGGGTGAAGACATAGTGTTTGAAACCTGAAATTTGATATAAGGATCTCTGTTCATGAGCAGCCTGGTCATAAGGAGCTGGTTTCGGAAATGTGTACTATAATTGTACAAAAAGTACTAAATGGTACTATATGTGTTATTGGGTGAAGGGATAGGGAAAAAATCTCAAATTGGATATTTAGATTACTGATTTTATCTGTGTTTGAGATTTGACGGTATTTTGAAAACGTGATCTATATTTGTATGAAACGTACTAAATGGTACTAAATTTGGAGTTGGATGGAGGGATAGGGCTGGATTCCTCAAATTTGGTGTGGGTTCCTAGAATTGAGATGGTTCCGAAAATGTGTACTACAAGTGCAAGTATAGTACTAAATAGTACTGCATTTGGTACAATTTTTCAGTGGGTGAACATATAGTGCTTGAAACCTAATATTTGGTATTAGGGTCGCTGTTCGAAAAAAGTACTGAATGCTACTATTTTTGGTATTAGGTGAAAGGATAGAGATAAAATTCTGAATTCTGTTTGGGATTTGACGTATTTTGAAAATGCGTCCTTTATTTTTATGAACAATACTAAATGATACTAAATTTGGAATTAGATGAAGGGATAGGGCTAAAATCCTCAAATTTGATGTGGAAGTCTCTATAGAATTGAGATGTGGAGGTGGTTTTGGAAATGTGTACTACAAGTGCACGTAAAGTACTAAATAGTACTATATTTGATACAAGTTGCTAATGGGTGAACAGATAGTGCTTGAAACCTGAAATTTGGTGTAATGTTCGCTGTTCATGTGTAGCATGGACATATGGAGGTTGTTTTGGAAAATTGTACGAAAAGTTCTAAATGGTAGTAAATTTGGTATTGGTTGAGAAGATAGGACTGGAATCTTCAATTTGAGGTTGAGGTTGGTATCTGGAATCGAGATGTGGAAGTGGTTTTGGAAATGTGTACCATTATTGTACGAAAAGTACAAAATAGTACAAAACTTGGTATTGAGTGAAGGGATAAAGACGGAACAGTGAAATATCAGATATCGATAACTGTTGGCGTCTAGGATTGAGATATGGAACGATTTTGCAAAAGAGTACTAAAATTATACGAAAATTACTAAATGTTACTAAATTCGGTATTGGGTTAAGGAATAGAGATTAAATTCTGAAAGGGGATAATTAGATTACTGATGGTATCTGTGTTAGAGATTTAAAGGTGGTTTCGGAAATGCTTCCTTTATTTGTGAGAAAAGTTCTAAATGGTGATAAATTTGATATTGGGTGAGGAGATAGGACTGGAATCTTAAATTTAAGGTTGAGGTATCTGTTTTGTTTTTGGAAATGTGCACTATTATTGTACGAAAAGTACTAAATAGTACCAAACTTGGTATTGAGTGAAGGGATAAAGACGAAACACTGAAATTTTATCTTTCGATAACTATTGGCGTCTAGGATTGAGATATGGAACGGTTTTGCAAAAGAGTACAAAAATTATACGAAAAATACTAAATGTTACTGAATTTGGTAGTGGGTGAAGGGAATCCCGAAAATTTAATCGGATGCCAGTGTTGGTGTCTGTGGTTGCGAAAATGATCTGTTTTTTGGCTAAATGGTACTAAATTTGGTAATGGGGGAAAATTAAAGTGCTGGAATTCCGAAATTTGATTGGTATCTGGTGTTGAGACTTGGTGGTGGTTTTACAAATGCGTACTATTATTGTCCGAAAAGCACTAAATCGTGCTAATTTTGCCTTCTTCTTGGTATCGAGGTTGGAGAGATATAGATTGTTTTGGATATGCGTACTAAATGTTACATAATTTGGTATTGGGTGAAGGAATAGAGCGGAAATTCTGAAATTTTATATTGTTGGCGTCTGGGGTTAAGAGAAGGAGTTGTTTGTGGATACGCGTATAATAATTGTACTAAATTTTGTACATTATTGTTCGAAAAATACGAAATGCTACGAAATTCGGTTCTGGGTGATAGGATAGAGTTGAAAATCTGAAATTTGATATTGAAGTTACTGTTGGTTTCTATGCCTTACATATGTATACGTTGAAACAGCTTTGAACAGAAAAATTGGATGTGGAACCATGATGCAATGGTATTACTTATATCCTCCTCGGTTAACTTCAAAATGAACAATTTTGAATTTTTTTGGTGTAAAAAGTTCGACATATGATTTTTTTATTAAAAAATTTTGTCAAACTGAACAAATTGTGCATTTTCAGTACTTAAAGACATGAATTGTTCGAGCATATCTAAAATTTAGATGAGCTGACATTCATAAATAGGCTTATTCATCAAACCATTCAACGGAACAATAAATTTTTCCTCTGAAAATGTGGTGGAAACTAAACACCAAACAGGTTGTATAGTATTCACATCCCATCATTTTTTAAAAAAATCTTTCACTTTTTGAGAACGGCATGTAAAAATTTAGCATTCTCTGTTGAGCTGTTAATTACCACTGTCTCAATTGATTCTCAAGTAGGGCGTCGTTTGCGACTGCTCAAGCTTTTGTGAACGTGATGAATCTGGGAGGGAGGAATTTCACGGAAAGGCCTTCAAAAAAGTTTCATATTCAGTTTATTGTCTGTAAATGAGTGCATACAAAACATGACAACACACCATTGTACATTTACATATGTACGTATTAATGGATCTACAAATGTACATACACACATATATATCTGTCTTGAAAGAGGTTATCAAGATAAATGTAAATTGGTTTATTATGGGGAGAAGCAATGGTAGATTACTTTGAGTAGAACAAATATTGAATTGGGCGAAGAAGATCGTCGTGACAACACAAGACCACCCAACCAACCAAGCGAACTATGAAACATCTGTTTGAAACCTATTCAACTTTCTCAATAGATTTTAAAATTTGTCATCATCACCCATCAGCAGGCAGCCGGCAATAAACGAAACCATTGAACTTTGCATTTATTTGTTTCTGTAAAAAGTTAAAATATATTTGTGAATTCTTATCGAATTTTCGTTTCGTTTTATTTTATTTTTTGATTTGTTTATTTTTGAAAGTGATAGTCTTTGTTATTGTTGTCATCGCCGCCGCCGCCGCCGTTTGCTAGTTAAGCTCTTTTGTGTCCCCAGCTTTCGATCGACAAGCAATACAATCGATCAAAGTGGCACATGATGCCATTCTATACCGTCTTTGGCGGGTTGTACTTTCGGTCATTGTTTATTGTGTATGCATATCAGTCAGACAGTCAGTCAGTTAGTCGTGGCGTCGTCATTTAGCCACTCAGTTTGGAACGTTATCGAAAGACGTCACATATTCTGATACCTGTGATTCATTCATCCATTCATTCGCTCATTCCAATGAAGTTTTTGTTTTGCACATTTCTTTTTATGGTCGTATCAAACATTGGAGTTTACAAAATGGAAAATAAAATTACACGTTTTAAGTAAAACATAGTGGTTGTCCAATCTGTGGCACTTGTAAGCGAGTAAGAAGACTTATGGAATTTAATACAATACGCAATGAAAAATAATAATTCGATTTAAATCGGCTGATAAATATCTTTAATTTGGAGCTGTTTATTTTAGTTATGAAGCGCAAATAGCTATGAAAATGTCTCTAGAATCTTAATATTTTCAAAATAGAATGTACCAATCTGGGGCGCAATATTAAACAGTAAACCTTTGCTTGTCATTTTGCAAAATTTGTCTCAAAAGCAATAAGAACCCTAAAGTCAAATTAACTCAAAGCGGCAGATTACACTGTGTAACAAAAAAATAATCAAGGCGAAAATGCAGCAGATTATGAAAGCAAAGCTAAAAAAGAAGTCACTTGTATCGGCATTTCGAATGTTTACATCGCAAAGGAACCTACATAGAGAGGGCTAGTGCCCCATCCTCTGCCACACTTTTGGCAATTTTCGGATTAACATTCCTCGTAAACTGTACATTTTAGGTACATAGTGTCTTCGGCAATATTGCAGATAAAACCAGTAAGG